GCATCGTACTAAATTATCTGGATTAAATTAGATATTTACAAGTAGCAACATTATTTAAACAAAGAAAAAATTGCAAATTTAAAAGTCAAAGATTCAATACTTCGTGGAAAGCCTGTTTTAAATTAACATAATGTCCCCTTCAATGATCCACAACCATGATAGTCTAAACCCACCATAACTCGTGTAATATAAAGATATAATAAGGAGTATTTTAATAAAAGGTGTCCATAGATAGCAGTAGTTATTCCATTAAATATATATGCAATAAGGGTAGGCTAATTAGAGACAATTTTTTTTTAAATCTTTATTTTGTTCTCTATCTGCGTAACTATGCTTTCTTGTCATAAAAAATTGACTCCTAGCTTCTTTTCCATCGACAGGACAAAAAGTTTCAATAACAATATATTATTTAGAAAAGTAAGTAAAGAACAGTTTTTCTTTAACAATTTCTTTCATAAAAAGAAAGACAATTCGTAACGAAAATCGTTATATTCCCCTGGAATTCTAAAAAAATTAAAGAAATAAGGTAGAAACTAGCAAATCTATCTAATAACATAAAACAGGGAAAACAAATACAACTGATGAAATATATAAGCAAAACATAAAACATTCCCTGAAGTTGAATGTTCAATGTATCTTTAATGGTTTGGGCAGAATGGACACAATGTAATATCAGAGAAATACAATAAAATAGAAAGTTCTATGAGATAGTAGAGATATTGTGACATGCGTGTTTATCACAAAATATCAACCTATCGCGTACGCACATAACAACTTAATCACACGAATATCTAAAACATAGTACACAATAGCACAGTAAATCATCATATCTAAATTACGGTTCAATTTATTTTTAACATTACAAAGAGGAAAGAATTAATTGCTTCTTTGCAGATTTCAAAATTTCAACATGACAACCCTACAATATGCCTGATTAAAATAAAAAATACATACCGGTCCAACATAGAAGCCCCATTTTCGATTTTAGTCGGTTAAAAAATTAATTATATCAGCTTTGCTCAAATCATATAACATATAAAATATATGTCCTATTCAGTAATGAAACAAATCGATGTAGGTTCCATATTAACCAGTAATTTCAAAGATATGCAATGCCTTATTGCTATTTGTGTGATAGGCTAAAGGCAGCTAGAGGTCTAGAAGATACGTTCATTATCATAACAGGTAATATGCAATCCTATAACCTTATAAGATTCGTATATGTAGATATTTTGATTTGTGCAATATTTACTTATTACCTACTTGCCGTTTGTATTTTCATAGATTGTTAAATTACTAACATCACCAAGTAGTATACGTAGACGTAACAGGTTCGAATTCATCGTTTCAAAGTATAATTGAAACTTTTTTTATCACGACTCAAAGCAGATCAAAATCGGACTGAAAATAAATAACGTTGATTTGAATTTATAAAATTTTAATCATCCGAAGTACTTTTTTTTTGCTTTTCCAATAAACAACTATTATGAATTAAACATCTGAATATTCCTCTGTTATCGTATATATGACTTAGGTACATTCACAAATTCTCATCCGTCTCCATACTAATATTACAAACTAATAAATAAATAAAATCTTTAATAAAAAGTATTATAAACTCTACTATTTTAATAACAAATCAATACGATAATCGACGGGTCAGACGGTAATAGATATACTAAGAACTAACTCATAGTCCATACGATCTCATGATGTCGTACTACCAATTATATTTACTGCATTCTAGTGCGTTGTGTAAGCGGGGTCGGTGAAGGGTCAGCAAAATTGCGCGGACATTATGAGAACTCATCGTAATAATAATTTATCCATTTTTTTATAGAAACCGTATTCTTACTTATTCTTAAACGTACTTGTAAATGAAATTACGAATCCATAATTCTGAAGCTAATAAGCGTAAGTCTTTCAATAAATTAATGTAATGGTATTTATTGATATCAAGTTTGTTTAGATTTTTGGTTAGATAAATGCAAAAGGGAAATTTTAAATACTGTTCGGGTTTCAAAGTATATAAAATATTAGATGTAAACTCAGTTGTTTTTGTGATTACACTAAACACGATTAAGACTATTAGATTATTAGTTTTATAATATTAGGCTCTTGATTATTAATATAAAACATTCCAATATCAACAAACAACGAATAATTCAAAAAGGATCTCGCCATAAATGCATCAAAATATTCAAATTCAATCTCAATTCCATACATAGCACTGTATTAATTTCGTGTATATTAATTTGGTGTCTATCAATTATGTCATTCGATAATGCAAAGTTCAATCAGCGTATAATAAAGTGTTTTCACTTTCATATTATCTTCTGCAGTAATATTTACATATCATTAACATAATCTGTCGTTTTTATTAATTTCGATTAAACAGCTTTCTATGATTATTAACATATTTTCGTAATATAATTATAAATATATTATTAATATACAAAATATGTTTTAAAAGTCATAAGTTGTTTTTACTATAGATATTTTTTCCATAAATATGACCTCAATGCCCCGAAAATTAGCATTAAAATTATTTTTTTATTAATTCAATATCTTTAATTTTCAAATTTATCATTCTTTAAAAGCAGAACACATGAATTAACAATATGTTCAATTTTCGAACGGCATAATAACATATTTCAGTTACTTTTTTTTTGTTCGGACGACGTACCTTTAATCTTATTTTCGTCTTTCAAATCGATATTAAAGCTTTATATTTAACGTCCTTACGTGCGCCCTAGATGCGGTTATATCAAACGATCGAATCCCATCGATATTCATACCCCACAATATGATGTAACGCAGCCATGATACAAACACAAACATCTAATACTTGCTTGTATTGCTCATGTTGCACAACTAAATGTATAATAGTTTTTCCTAATACTTATAATCAACAAAATAAGTTCTTACTTGACTTATTGATAAAATGGGAAACTAAAAAACTTATAGTTAAAAGTTCTAGAACGCTTACATACAGCCAGTAAACCCATGCTTCGAACTACTACTATACACTTATTAGAAGCAAAATTTCATCACAGCAATTTAGTCCTACATTAATATCCTGCGAATAAATAAAAAGAAAACAATGAAAAAGATATTTACCTAACAATATAAAAATATTGATAAGTAAATAAATTATATGATATTTTAACAATTTAAAATTAGGTTTTTTTATTTTCTTCGCTCTTCGAAATTCATTGTATTCAATTCTTCACAAATGTAATTTCCATTGTAACAATTTTAAAATAATGATCATTTCCGTCAAAACCTTTCGAATGAAAAGCCACGAGATCAAAGTCTAAAGCTCCGTGTAATGGCCGTTGCATGACTTCCGGCGATGTATGGCGGAAATGAACCTCCGTCTTGTGATGCAACGCAAAAGAGTAGCGTATTATAGTGCTCGGAAATGAACCTATGTCAGTAAAGGTTAAGTTAGAACTAAAGTTACATACTTGGAATCTGCTATATTACCAGAGCCAACATTTACTTAACAAATTAGGTCCAAGTAATTTGTCCTGAAGATTTAATATTTATTTTTAAACCTATCTAAACATCACATTAAAATCACATAAACATCACTAAAAAAACTGAAACCTATGCTCTTAAATTATAAATATATTACTTACTGCTATAGTATATTTATTTGTAAAATATTTCTTTCGGCTGTTTGGTAGATTGTATGAACATTGATGAAAATACGCTCTATACCTGTCCTGGGCAGCTCAGTGGTCAGAGCAGTCTCCCGGATTGCGAAAGGTCATGGGTTCAAGTCCCATCTCAGAGCGCCAGGGACAAAGTGGATTTTAAGCATTTTTCATTAGAATACCATAGTATATCTAAGCTTACACACGACCTAAGTATTACATACTCAATAATCGCCAACAGCAAATATAATTTTTCGTAAGTTAAGTACATCACTATACCCTCGGATTCTATTAACACTGTACTTAACCACTCCGCTAAACTACTGTAATACTAGCGTAGCGCAAGTCCCACGGTGACCTGGCTGCATCACGCGCCCTCTGTGATGCAACTGTTACGTCAATCTCACCCCAACCTCTGACCTCTCGCTTTTGCCGGCAGTTGTTTGTGTGTTTAGTCGTTATCGCAACCCGAACACAATAATTGTTTATTTGTTAATAATGCACATCATTAATATTATGTAAACATTCTGTGTTTTATTACTTCAATGGAACTATCATGTGCTTTTACAGCTAAATCGCAGACGATTATTTCCATTTTAAAACGAGTAGGACAAATCATACTATAATGAAATTTGATGGTATGAAGCCTATCAAAAAACAAAGGCTTCTAACTTTTAAATATATAAATAAAAAATAAATACAAAGTATATATCCTTTGATCTTTTAATGATAGAATGAAAAAGTAAATATAAAAATATGAAATAAATTTCTCCGTAGACGAAAGAAAATTCATTTAAGCCTTTCCAGGATATTCAAATAGTTAATTGTTTAAGATTAAGATTGTAAATAATCAGGTACCAAGTTCAGATATGATGACTGGCGATGCCAATCAATAAATACACTAATATAACATAGACACGACATCAAATTAAAATTCTCAACTCATTTAACAATTTCATAAACAAAAACCGCATGAAAAAGTAAGCACGCAAAACTAGTATATCCGCATTCAGTATGTGTTTTTAACACTTTCAATTAGAATAGTTGACAAATAAAGAAGCTCACGTCGAAGTAAAAGTCCATCGTATGAGGAAATATAACTGATAACAAAAATACGACGTGACCTCAACAATAGTGAAGAGTTCTTTCACTTTCAATTAACTTCAACAGCAAGAATAACACGCAGAGTCAATAAAAGCGGCAGTTGCGTAACGGTAGCATTGGATAACTGATATTTGCATACATTTTAATACGAACATGTGAACGAATTTGTTAATCGTAACGTCTCGTAGAAAGCTAATACAATAGCTTAGCCACGCCTCCCTACATAACGCACATAATATATCAAAGTATTCTCCGTGAAGGTTTGTTATTATATAATTTGGCACTTATATTTTTCGTGCTATGGACCCTGTCCAATTATTGTGTCAAAGTTTATCACAGCTCATCTATACTGCCCTTTGAACAAATTATACAACAATTGAAAATTGAATAGAAAGTTGTCTTTAAAAGTTCACTCAATGTCACAGTTCTTTTTTAAGTACTGTTATTTTATTGTTCTTGAAATGTAGACTATTATTTGCATTGATAATGATGGAGAACTTGCAAACGTTTGTCACAAATCACCTATTACAGCTTCATAATTCAGCAACTTTGTCAGTTGAATTAATATTTTTTTTTTATCAACAGTGCATAGCCCTGGCTTTGGTGGCGTGTAGCAGCGCCGAGCCTCCTTCCGGATATAACTACAACCGGCCATCCGGCGGCGGTGGATTCAGCGGTGGTTTCAGCGGTGGATTTAGTGGTGGATTGAGCGGCGGCGGTGGCTACCGTGCCGTTTCCTCCGGATACCAGACCTCCGAAGGCCAGAACGTCGACCCCCAACTCCTCGAGCAAGTCCGCCAGATCCTCCTTAAAGAAGAAGCCTCCTCGTCCTCCGGCTTCGGCGGTGGTTTCGGCGGCGGTCACGCTCCCTCCTCCTCCTACGGTGCCCCCTCATCCTCCTACGGAGTCCCATCCAGCTCCTACGGAGTGCCATCTGCCCGCGTCGTCGGCATCAACCTTGAGGGAGTACGTCAAGCCATCCAAGTAGCCCAATTCGAACAATCCGGTGGCTCCTCCGGTGGATATGCGTCTGGACCTTCCTCTTCGTACGGAGCCCCTGCCCCCTCTGGCAGCTACGGCGCCCCCTACTAAATAAACCAAAATCGTACCGAACGCATCTAAACTGCTCTGTTAGTCAAACCAGTTGAATGCCACATAGTTCGGTTGTACTATTCGGGAACGCCTACTTCAACCATGGCGGCTCGAATGTTTATTCAATTGGGCCGGTGGTCACGTACAATGTAGGTGGCGCCGGCCGCGTACCATCACAGCGGCCAACGCTTGCGACTATGCACGTACACGGGTTAGCTACACCCCAGCGACCAGCCAGGCGTCAATGGAGACGCCATGACATATGTCACTGTCACCGCGACAGCTGTCAGAGTCGCCGCCAAAAGGACGCAGTGGCTAGCCGCTGGGACGAACTCATGTCTCTGTATAAAGTTTATCTTAAGATTAGCTTAATTTATCTTTTAAGTTTTTATTTTGTTTACAAAAAAAATAAATACATTTTGACACCGTACATGGAAGTTTTCTTTAAAATCTCAAGAAATCAAATTATCTAGTAATAAAAATATTTCAATTATTAGTAGGTGATAGATAAAGAATACACTAATTAGATCATGTCTACACAATAAACAAACAATTTTATAACGTGCCATTTTTTATGTTAAACAATAGTAATTTTTCCGTTCAATAGGTACAAATAACAATTGATAAATAGTTACTGACATCATATCAAATAAATTAACTTTCTACGAAATATGAAGCAAGGACTACAGTTACAACTACATGTTATTAAATACCTTATAATTAAATCAATTCCTACTAGGAACAGTTTATTCCGTCTATAATAATCAAGTGTTCAGATTTTTATAACACATCAAATAGACTCTTATAATTTAAAACCAACACAATTGTCGAAATGAAACACAACATAAGTGCAATAACAGCATTCCGCATAAAAAAATCAAATTATGTAAATCAAAAGCATCAAAGGACAATCGTGTCTTTTCTTTTATAAAATGGCTCCGTAACATTATTGCTGTGGTCGAGGAAAAATGTAAAACCTCTAATAAAGTACATATAAAGTATATAAGGATGAGCGATTTCTAGGAGAATCTCCAGTAAGTAGAAGCGATGATTTGAGAAAACAACAAAAAACAACATTACTTAAAACAGGGAATAATAAACCATATTAGGCAAGGCCTATATTCAGCCACTGGGCTGCTATAGGCTGATGATGATGATGATAATATCACCGGCAGAGCGTAGCGATACTTTAAGGGTGAAACTTTCAAAAGCAAAATATCGTAGACTGACGCCCTCATAAAAATAACAACCTAAATACTGTTGTGCCATTTTTTCTATTCAGTTGCGACAGGTTTGCTTTTACTATTTTAAATTAATCATATGAACTTTATACGAAAGTTACATAAGCAGTCAACGAAATGAAATCTTACGTACCATAAAACACGAGTGGTAATTGCAATGCTTATATTTCTTCATTATCAAAAGAAACATTTTTTTTGCTTAACCAATTAATCTTGTTGGGAAATCAGATAGTTATATAGTAAAGGTAGTTTATTATTTTAACATATTAACTTTTCGTATAATTGTTATATTAGTTTCTTTCAGTCTCTAGAAACGTAGTTCTAAACTATAGTTCGCTTCGAATTGGTAAGAGCCAGCGTTAAGCCAATATGTAATATGTAAATGGCTGCACAGTTCAGTAGGCAATCCTGAAATTTGTTTAGTTATAAAATCGTTAAACATTCTTTAGTAAAATAGAACAAACAACTTAAAATGTACAGTATCTCAAAGTTTGCCACATGTCGGTATAACAAAAGATGTACCTTACCAATCTTAAACTCCAGTGTTATCATTAACAAGGTTTAGCGTTGGAATGAATGAAAAGCTTATTCTAAAATTGTTCTCAGTATAAGGTAGTTAAAATTCATATTACTTTATAAAAAAATTAACAAATTTATGATTATATAAATAGAGCCGGCTCATATAGGATAACTAGGCAACTGCCTAGGAGGTTTGTATTTAGCGGGCGGCATGGCATGGCAAACAGATTGTGTTTGTTCTGATAATTTGATTCTTTATAAATGTGTCCTTATCTGCGGTTATCAAAAGTATGAAAATTTTAAATCAAAGAGTTTCTGTTGCCATTGGTCAAATTACACTCTTTAATCGGTGTACTTATATTACTCTTTTATTTCAATCATTCCAATATTTTAGATAAGGCGCCAAGTTTCATTGAGCCAACGTTAAATACCAAACTCCATATCCCATAGAAAAATATATAAATAAAAAGTAGAATAGGATAAAGTAGTAGAATAGGTGGCTAATCCCCCCGTTAAAGTATAAAAGACGATGAAAGAATGTGTCGTTTGCAGTATATCAGTGTGATAGATAAAATTGCGAGAACTTGTATGCATGATAAACATAGTATAACAAGGGCCTGCTAAAAAGTGGGGACAAGTGTAGGGTCTGACCTGTATTGTAGGCCGGGTTAAATAAAAAAAGAACGTTGAATACAAGGACAATACGAGAGCAATATGCATTCGGAAGGTGATTACGTTACTTAGTATCTGTCTAATAATATGAATTTTGACTATGTTATATTAAATGTTATCTTAGCATAAATTTACTGCGATGCTAAATATTGTTTATTAATAACACTTTGTGAGTATAAAATAATATTACAGCGTATTCTAGAAATTTAGGGATCGAGTAATTCTCAAATAATTAATAATTTCCTAAAACCGTCATCATCGCAGACATAACAAAATAAATAGACACTCTACCATATTAGTTTATTATCCAAAATTAAGAGATATTTTAATAAGATTTCCATTAAAAAGCCAGATGAGAGGTAAGATACGAAGCTGCACTAATGATTATCACACTGCAATAACGGGATTCTACTTCGCATTTTACGTTATTTTTTTACTGTGAAATATTATATTCGATCATTACGATGTGTGTCCACTAAAGTAGTATTTGTGAAGGCAAATACAGTAAATGTCTAAAGCTGGGTCTAATGACAAATAATCAGTGAGTCGGATGCAAGTTTCATCAATTATTTTCCTTCGGGCTCTCTAGAAGAATTGAGAAGTTTAGATATCTATAATGAGAAATGTTTTCCACTCTTTTTTATTTAAAGTGAGCTTACTCTTACCTAATTGTATTCCCTTTCTTGCCTCAATCGACCCTAAGGGCATGAAAGAGTTCTACGATGAAAAAGTTTACCCAAAAGGAGCCTATTGACTCTTGCCTTAAATAAGTATTTTTTATATAAGCTCTGAAATACAGATACCGATAGGGAATTACCACTCTTTGGCAGTGCGCAGTAAATACAAGATATAAAATAAAAGCAGAGAACTAAAATATTTCTCATCTTTATTTTGTCTTAGATTCAGAGTTTTCAAACATCTTATATAAGAGCCCGTAAAGAAATCATCAATAAACGAATATCATTTGTTTTAAGATATAAATAATAAAAATCGGGTATCAAATCATTGTTTGCATGGCCCAACCAGAGTGACCCATCCGTACTATCATCAGACATTATGAAACGGTCTCACGGATAATCTCTCACATCTCGTGTATAATGTGAGTTACATAAAATTACGCCAGAGCACACAATGGGCAGACCCATGGCTCGGAGCAAATGACGAAACATGCCTGAAGATTATTCCTATACTTTGCTATTTGCCACTTCATATGGACTAAATAACTCGATGGCTTGCGCTGTCTGCGCTTACCACGCTGGAGGCCAGTGCAAGATGGTGGATATTAAAGATGCACCATTATAATTATAATGCTTTGTTGCAAAAATGATTATGCAAAAAATAAAAAAGTGTTTAATATTTTACATACATCAAACTAACGGACATACAAAAAAAATATTTTTTTATCTCTATTACACGTACTGTTTATTTATTTTACAGTAGTCGAAGAACATTAAAACGTTACCAAACAATTACACTAACTGCGCTAGTGTAAGTACTACGTTAATGGGCTAAGCTTAATGCAATCTCATTGTTAAGTCGACAAATTGCAAAATCGCTCCCCCGACGAGCGTTTGTGTTCATCGATGCTTATTAGCTTCCGTTGATCATTAAAATAAAATCAGTACACATAATCAAAATTATTTTTACGTTTTTACTGCAAAAAGGGATAATGTCTGGGTTAAAAAAAAAACGAAAATCTATTTAGTCCTTCAGTCAGATAATAGATAAATATAAGATAAGTACTTGTTTTTTTTTTGCTTCAACTTAACAAAAAGTGGCTTAGATAACAGACATTAAAGTTGAGGAGTAGGCACTCGTTACGTCACAACTATGTAGAAAATTTACGAAGGTAAATATATGGACAGACAAAATAATTCTCAGATATTCAACCAAAATATCTTGTCTTAAAGGTGGATCTTAAAAATACTTTCGACTCAGTAGATTGTCAACAAGGTGATCCACTCGGGCCGGGTATTCATCTGTTTCAATTCTAAATTCAATGTGTGGTATCTGGATGATGAGACGTTAGAAGGAGAAGCCACATCAGTTTTTTCAGATCGAAAATATAATGATAATAATATTTATTTGATCATAAATTATCGAAGTTAGATACAAAGCTTATCAAAAATATTTATATAGTAATTATTTAAAATACACCTTGCTTATAGGTAGCATCCATCACCGAACTAGGTCGAAGGAAAGAGATCGAAAATATCCAATCGAAAATTTTGAAAATAGTAGCCAAAACTAAATTTGAGTAAATGTGAGCTCTATATTTCCAGCACAGTCAATGAAAAATAATCTTTATTTTCCAAATTTTATGCTCTAGCTCTAGAAATCAAAATTATTTGTACACAGTCACTTTCACTTTTAGGTACTCCAATTTGTGGTGAATATTTCAATCAATTCACTGAACAAAAAGTAATAAAACTTTATGTCAGTTGCTGATTGTTTAATAAAAATTAATAATTAAATGGCTTTCACATTTATGCGCTATTGTCTCTTTATTTCTCAATTTACTTTTATAGACAACATAATTTACTTTTAATTGACAATGCAATAAAAGAAATTGTTTCCACTAAACTGAATATCGATATTAATGACAAATTTTGAGACCAGGCTTCCCTTCCTATACACGCCGGAATTTCTAGTGTTGCTCTTCCACCATTTTCATCTTCGGTCCATAACACCTATGGCCTAAATAAAAAAAAAATCTGTAAAAAATTATGTGTTTTCCTCCCTATTATCTGTAGGTTACCTATAAACAAATTACTACTTATTATGGTCACCCTGCAGCGCATAATATGTGTTATTATAAGATATACCTACTTTGATTTTATAAAATCCTTTAGGTGTTTGATAGAAAAAAGACAATGTGCTCTACGCGAGCATGAATTGGAAATTAATGTGAAACTTTAATTTACCATATCATACAGTGATTTACGTTCCGAAGACGTGAAATTTATTGAAATACATATATTCGTCGTCACTTAGGCTCCGTATAGATGTCAAGTGTTCACCAAAGACACTTGTACACTTTCCCGTATATTATATTGAAGTGCTGGCGCTTATTTTGCCATCAATTTCTACTACTCTATCAGTAGACAGTGCCCGTGCGAAAATTTCAAGTCTAATTTTAGTGTATGAGCTCTATTACAAACAAAATCTCTACGCGGTCATATAAATTGAGCTCGAATGGCTAGTGCATTCCATTATGTAACAATTATATAGTTATATTTATCATTTTTGCTGAAAGAGGATAATACATTTGTGATTAAAAATTATGAAATCTTTATTCTTAATGAAGTAGTAATCATTCGTTTATCGTAATATAAATATAAGGTATCAACAAATTAACATCATAGTTGACCAAACTACTGCGCCACAAGCCTTCCCTGTGGATGAAAACGAATAAAATCAAATAAGAAGAAAAAGACTAGGCCCATCACGAGGGCGCAGTGAGGTCCGAAGCACGGAGGAACTTGAAAAAAATAATTTTGGTCATCCATCCTTAAATGTAGTAGTAGTAGACTGAACGCGCTAACCACGACGCTAGCGTGTTCCTCGTTCAAACAAATAAAACAAAATAATATGCCAAAAATATAATATATCGTTCATGTTCATCACTATCAAATCACAATACCTTAGTTATACAGCCACGAAACATAATATCAACATAATTTACTTATAATTTTACTCGCGCTTCGATAATAATTAGCTACTTACAACTAGTAATTGGCACTTAGTGAGCTCATTAAAATAATTTATACTTTATTTACACCAACAAAAAATATTATAGTCAAATGTAAACCGAACATATTATTTTCTTCAATCAATCAGTAAAATATTGAGGTTATGAAATAAATGATAAGAATATTGGATAATTGTATCCAAATTTAACGGGATTTACCATTATTAGTAGACCAATATCTTTACAAATATCATATTGACAAAATATTTCATTGTTTTTTTACATCGAATAGGTTCCGAAACTATAAGACTGATTTTAAAAACACTTAATTCCAATCCAAGGGCATGTACAAACTTAATAGTATACTTTGAATTAGTTTTCAGAAAAATGTTTTGGTCTATGTAATTATTTAGAAATTGACATTAATATAGAAAATGCAAATTGAATAGATAGATCAATATCTTGCATTGCTGTATAATTAATTGCGCTGTTACAATGGTTCTTTGGTTTTTTTAGATGAAAATCATTGTTATCAAAAATATCACTGAGTTGCAACCATTTTGTATCATTACAACATACTTAATAGGCACTTCTAGTATTTTAATATACTATCTTAGTTTTATGTACTGGACATGTATGCCGATCGTCCTCATAAATTTTCTATTTATTTATGTAAAAATCAATATACGAACCTACCTATTTGCAAAAATGTAAAATTCGCAACAATTAACCATAAACATACAAATGGAATATCATAAATACACATTATTTCAATATTTTATAGTATTATGGTATAAAATGATTAAAACTAATGATTAAATTACAACAACAAACAAAAATGTTCAGCAGTTACATAGTGATTAGTGATTTTTAAAATATTCTTATTTAGTTAAACGTGGGACGTCTTTAGCGCTTTTCTGTAAAAAAATCCATGTCGAACTCGACGTTTAATATAGAGCTGTCACAGCATAGAGGTTCAATGAAATAAAAACCATTTCAATAGATCAAAAAAGTTTTACTTCATTGAAGTTGTATGCTGTGACAGCGCTATACTAGACTTCGAATTCAAGACTGATTTTATTATAAAATAGCAAAGCAGAGCCCTTCATTAGTAAATTCACTTTAATTTTGTTGTTGTACACATTTCTTGCTCAAAATGTAGAAGAAAATAAAATAAAGATTATTATTATATTATTAAAGATTATTAATTTAATTGGAGCGGTCAAATTAAACGGATAGTTAATATAGTACCAATAAACAAATATACAGATTTTTAACAGTGTACAAATATTTTAAACTATCTAGTATCATTTATATAAAATATTAACAAAAAAAAAATTATATGACAATTTATTAATTTATCCGGTAATTAAATTATAAGAACTGGTCACCCCGACAAAGTGATAATAAGTCCTTCGTGGACTGCGAGATGCCAATTGGTCTAATCGGTCGGTCGGTCGTGTATGTATATACTCAGAATAATAACAATATATCAGGGGCTACAATCTCGACAGAATTCGCGATCGCGATCTTACCGAATTCGGTCGGTAACTAACTAACTAACGAACATCGCTATTTTTAAAGTTACAGTCGGTACATGCCTAACACATAACAATGTGCATAATTGCGATTATCGTTGAAATACGATCGCTATAAGTTTGCAACCGATTTCGATTAATATGCGATCGCTAACTCTATCGAGAAACTAAGTCTTTGTATTTTCACCAATCATGCGCGTAGTACAAAAACATATCACTGGGTCTAACACTCATTACCTGACATGAGATAGATAGAGACTGAGAATGACAAATTTCTTGTAATAAAACTTTACATTTTTTATAACTAATGGACTCATTGTTGCTCTCAATCCAGCCTGGAGGCATGAATGAGATAAAAATACTGAAGTATAGTAACATCAAGTTTCTGAGCACAATTTTAAATTTGTGTCAATGCTCTCAATTTCAATTCAATGATAAAAACTTTTCCTATTTTAATCTGAATAAAGGATTACTCTGTTGCTCTAAAAAAGTAATTACATATGATAATAACAAAAACATACTTAATACCTCAGAATAATAATAATACGTAATAATATTCGTTTTCGTGGAAATAGAGTTTACTCTACAAGTTGACATATATATATGTCAATTTGTATATACGCATAAGACTTGCATTTTTTAGTTTTGCTCATACAAATTCGATTAGCACTTTAACATTTTTTATGCTTAGAGTAATGTTCTATTATGCTAAAATAAGTATACGGCCATTTAAGTGTTTGTCTATTTTTAACAACTATCAATGTGTGTCCGTGTTCACAACCATGTAAATAGAATAAACCTTATGCATAAAAAGAGTATTATAATATTTGTTCTTAAAATATCTATTTTTACTCGCAAACATAAAATCCTTATATCAAATCTGAGGTTATACTTCATCATTTTTCGATAAATCGTCGACTTCGTCGTACTTTTTCTTACTCTATGACATTAAAATTAGTAAGGTTAGAGTAGGAGAGACGTCGAAACTTTGCACGAAATGTCGAATATCGATTTTAAGAGTATATGGCCTATATAAATTGAATTTTCATTTAACAAATAACTAACATTTTCAAACATAAGTATTTAATGTACACCAAAAATACTGAAGTGCATACAAACCATGCATTTTGATGAGCACTAAGTAATTTCATATTTTGTATTATTTTAATGTTCCTAATAATTATTTTCACATCTTCAAGTATTCGATTTTTTAATAATATTTTGATTATTATATCAGATTAAAATCTAAAAATGGAAAAGTTGCCAGTTTCTTATAACCTGACGTAAATATTAAGGTAGATCGTTCAAAGAAGTGAAAAATTCATATTAACTCAAACAAATTCTAAGACCATCAACCAAATACAAAATAAAGCCAAGCCAATTAACTTTAAAACTAACTTAATGACTATGTACAAACAGCATAAAATATAACTGAACAGTTTAGCCCCATGTCAAAGTATTTTAATTTTAATTAACTGAAAATTTTATTGTAGGTAATATTTTTCTACGCAATTACAATCAAATACCAAAAATATATGACATATCACACAAAACGTTCAGCTATTTTGCTGTCCGTGCTGATATTAGGAACAAAACGATAATATACAAACAAATTACAACAACTACAAAATAAAATATTTATAAATGCTTTTTACACAATCCACTTCTTTCTAAAACAAAGCACCTTACGATTTAAAACATTATGCATTCAAAGTTACATAAAAAAGAAATGTATCGTATAAAATGGAAATATTGAAGTCGATATGTAAAAAATAAATTGTATGATGTTAATCGTATGGTACCCAATAAGGTGTGAATAAGATAAAAAAAAACCAGTTAACCACGATTTGCCTACATACCTAGATTTGATCCACAAAGTTAACTGACGTGATTAAAAAAAACGTAAAAAATGTGAAATATTAACCTAGACATAACCCTGTACTAGCTAGCACCCTTCTTTTGCCCTTCATTAGGCCACAGAACCTCCGGATGATTGAGCATATAATACATCATATGCTTCTCACTACCAAATGTAGAAGCCTTCGTTCCTAAACACATCAGGAACTGACTCTTCTCTAAATTCTTATCACAGTCCACTGAGTGAAATATATGCACCAAACTATTGTCAGCAATTCTATACACTGTAAGATTTGACTTTATGAGCGTTTCAAACAATTGAACATCTTCCAAACCCCAACCTTTGATATTTAAATCAAAACCACCAACTCTAAGGAAATCACATTTATATATACTTAAGATACCAAAACCGTATTGCCTAAAATAACCGTAATCGTCAGTTATCTCTTTGCTGTACTTCATATTGGCTAATTCTCTGTCTGATTTCACTTCAGTTTCAGATGACATTACGTATCTACCTAAATCAGTATTTATAACGAGATTTTCGTCTTTGAATTTATTAAAGTCTTCACCATTCACAACTTCAGGATTGTATTCACTGAACACTATTGGGAAATATACTTGATTATATTTAATTGTGTTAATTCTTACTCTCCTCAAAGAAATAAAGTTAAACATCATATCGACGTCTATAAAGAATGCTAAGCCGTCTTCGGGAACAACTTTAATTCCTTCAGTCAATGCGGCGCCACGTGAAAATGGTGTAGAACCCATCGTAACTACTTTTATATCTTTAGCATATAAATCTTTATAGTAACTGATCAAACTCTGAGAATTTTGGTAATCCGTGGGGCTCTTAATATCTAGATATAGCACCACTATCAATGACACGGCCTCATTACTTTTCAACACGATATCCTCGTAATTTTTCATAAATCGACCGAACACCTCTTGCCTTCCAGCTAAAGGAAGTACGAAATATATTCTTCTGTCTGAAATAGGATATTCTTCGGAGCTGGCATCGCCCCATTTAAAAACTTTCGGCAAATTTTTGTGCAGCTTCTCAAGGCCGTTCCCTATTGCCTCCTTAAAGTTCAGCTTGCCAAAATCTAAGAAGCTATTTTGCTGTCGTTGACTTAATTCATCGAAGTCATCATAGTCGTTGATGTCTACTTTGCTCAAAATCTCTGGATCTTCGACCGGCGGTGGTTCACCCAAGGGCAATTCCCGTATATCGATTCCTATAAAATAAAAAATTACAATTATAGACTAATAAATTAATAATATTTGACCCGTTTAAAATGAATCATGATCTTATCACTAAAATATTCCGTGGAACAATTCGAGCGACACTATTGATATCGGTTTCTAAAGATTACTTTTTTGTATTATATGCTGTAAAAAATGTATGTCTAAGTAAAATAGTTTAAACTTAATAAGAAACAAGTTAATCAGTTTTTGACTTCATAATTTATTAAAATAAACTAGTATTGTGATCAATTTCTCGCGTTTAAGCAATTGCTTAAATCATTTAACAGACTAAACAATTAATAAATTATCGTAAAAATATTATTCTAACGTTAACTATGTTACATTACGTTACTATGTTATTTAAAAAAAACAGAGTTTTCAAAACTAGGTGTCATTAAATGGGGTAATACTTCTAAAATAACGGGGTAGTTAAACTAACAAATTCTCTGCGGTTCATTATTATAACAAACGTACTTTCTGCTAAAACACTAACAGTGTTATTAATAAACAAAGTTTAACCTCGGAGAAAATGTACGCTGAGACTGCACTTAGTATTAGTCAAAATTCATATTATTAAACAGAGACTTAGCAAAGGTTAACCTAGGACGAACTTCTACGAGTGTAATATTTACTCCTAGAAGGTAGTAGGTTTACTTATTCTCTGTATAAAGAAATTTGGACTGATACTAAAATTGCAAATTCATCGTAAATTTATTCTAACGCTAAACCTTGTTTATAAATAGCACTGTGAGGGTTTATTTAAAAAAAAACAATTGCCTGATACCAAAATACAAATTCAATAAAAGCGTGAGCCGGACGCCACCCTTCCCACACACACACTAACCAATCGCGTCATAAACGTTGAATGGCAGTTTCTTTGTTCCGTCGCGTTAGCGTCGGCCGATTTTTAGCTCAGTCGCCACCCGGCGTTTGCGTTTGATATACGTCACTGCATCGCTGCCGGTTCACCGCTGCGAAGCTACTATTTCGTCAATTTTTCTATTGCTTATGTGCATTTTTAGTTTATTTAGTGTTCAATTAAATAATTGTGTTTGTGTTTAGAGCTTAAGTTTAATTTAGTGAAGACTAGTTTAATTTAATTGCGTAAAAATGTTATTAGACGCTAGAGATTACTTGAACCTTGTTTTATTATATGCAGAGTGTGACTATAACGCCCGTGCAGCCTTACGTTTATATCAGGAACGCTTTCCTCCACCACACCCTGCAAATCCTCGCGTTATAACAAGTGCGCTTTGCAGGCTAAGAGAAAATCGCCCCATCGTTCCACGTTCCTCCATGGATGACCAACGAGGTGGCAGATCTATGCGTGTAAATGTTCAACTCGAGGAAAAAATCTTGCGGTACTTCGACCAAAACCCAAGTGCAAGTTCTCGCCAGGCTGGACGGTATTTTAAAGTAAACCAAATGCTCGTATTACGTGTGTTAAAAAGGAACAGGCACCACCCATACCGGATCCAAAAGGTTCAAGCCTTGTTCCCGAGAGATTTGCCGATCCGAGCCGCGTATTGTCGTTGGTTATTAGAGCGCATTGCTGAAAACCCGCAGTTCGTGCATCAGATAATCTGGAGCGACGAATCCACGTTTACACGAAGCGGAATGTGGAACCGACATAACGAGCACATCTTGGCCGAAGACAATCCCCGCATAATTCGACAAAGGGCTCAGCTACCGAATTGGTCGGTTAATGTGTGGGTCGGTATACACGGCAATACAGTAATCGGACCAATTTTTTCACCGCCTACACTGGATCGTCACGATTATCGCCAGCTTCTGACGAACGACTTGGCTAACTACTTAAATCAGTTGCCACCGGAGGAACGAAATACTGTGTGGTTTCAGCAGAATGGGGCTCCAGCTCATTCGGTGGAGGAGGTGCGCGAGGTTTTAAATGAAATGTTCAGAGATCAATGGATCGGCCGGTACGGACCACATCGCTGGCCAGCACGATCTCCTGACCTCTCGCCTCTAGACTTTTTTTTGTGGGGCACCATAAAAGATCGGGTGCTCCGTAATGAGTGTGAAACTAGTCAAGAAATGAAGAACCGCTTGGTGGGAGCATTTAAAGAGCTCCGACGGGAAATTGTTGAAAGTGATAAGCTTACACGTGTGCACCGACATACAAAAGAGCGTGCTCGGCTCTGTCTGCAGAAAGTAGGTGGACATTTTGAGCATCGACTCTAGGTAAGTTATTAAATTAATAGTAAAGAATATCGTATTAAACTTAGCATTAATTAAATGTAATTTGTGTGGTTGGTACTATTTCGGAAGCCGGTTGCAATTTGCACACATCGACATTGCGCGTGCGCATTAAAGTGTTCAACACTTATAAAACTGAATTTATGACACCATTTTTGCATCTTATTTATTTTTTAATATCTATCACATAAAATAAATATTTGCATGTTACCTAGCTTGCAACTTTTAGCTGTGTCGGTCATTGAGCTTCTCGGTATTATTTTAGAAGTTTTAAAAAAATACCGTCCACCATAATAGAAGACCTATTTTACATCGAGAAGGCAACGCATCAACTGCTTGTCTATCTATATAAATTGATAGTTAATAAGCTTTATTTTAAACCATATAGGAATATACAAAATTATTATCAGATCTCATTGATTTGATGTGTATTGAAGTTTAAAATTTAATATTTTCCAATTATATCATTTTACTGTTGTGTAATTTTTTGAAGTTAGTATTTCATGGTGGATCCAAGCTAATGCAAAACTTTGCGCATAATACAATGTTGCATCTCTACATTATTGTAATATGTGCAGTTATATAATGTATGACAGACAATCCCTCATTTTCCAACACAGCATTTATAATGATGATGTGTTTGAAACCATTGATGTTTATAGAAAAGTGTAACGGACCGGTGAATGACTGTTGCAGATAGGCGTGCCTGCGTACAGCGGCAGTCATCTTCTTGCCACGGTAGCGCCGGTACTTTAGCAGCAGGTCCAGCACGTGATCAGCGCCGTGCAGCGGCTGCAGCCGCGTGTACCCGTACAGAAGCTCGTTGAAGTCGATCACGCGCCCGCGCTGACGAGACGGCGCGTTAATTATCTCCATCACCTAGAAAGTTTTACCAAAAAATCTTTATTACCTAGATTTTTATAAAAGCTTTCAAGGCGACGCTGGACTCTACGAAGATATTGATATTTTTGGGGGTGAACTGGATTTCAACGCTAAATATGAAATACAAGAAGAGGAAACTTAAAAATGCACTTAGTTTTTTAATTATGTAAGCATATAAACTAAAGCTTTTAAGAGTTCCTTTATACATTTATAAATTTCCTTATCTTGTATCATATATTTAACTGTTTTTAAGTTAAATTTATATTTAACTTAATACATTTGACATTAGAAACGAAGTACGTTCTCTTCTAAGATAAATCAGCGTCACTTATGTTCGTATTAAAATAAAATTATATATGTGCACATACATCTTTAATTCATCTTTGTCCATATTAAATACATACTGCATTAAAAATCAGTGCTAAAATTAATAAGAACAGTATAACAGCACTTAAAACAACTAAGGTAAAAATTTGACTTTATTAAAATTTAATACTTCAACATTTATGTTATAAATAGAATAATGTTGCTTACAGTTTAATCAGAACTTCTTTTAACTTCGCAATAAAGAGCGTCCCGAAAACCACAACACTTAACAGTAATTCTTACCTCCCTGATGACGTCATCAATGGCTTCCCTGAGTGGACCTTCAATTCTTCTTTTGGGATTTGCATTACTGATGGAGTAAATTGACTTGCTGATAAAATCAAAGGGGATTATGTCCTCTTTGTTATCAGGCTTATACCGGTTGAAATCTATTGGGGCTCCTGGTAACACAAATATTGTGGTTAAAATTTATTCATCATTATTATTTTATTTCGATCTAAACATAGTTAAGATAAAACAACCACATATACAGCCCTTACATAATAGATATTCCACCTATTGGAAAGGTCTGTGCCAAAGAAATGGGACCATTAATAGACGATGATGATGAAGTGAGTTTCAGATAACATTTCAACAGAGGTTACAACCAAAGCCATACTTGTAAAATATTTCGATCAGATATTCATGTCAATATAATTTAGGAAGTCGAAGAAAATTATATAACTATGAGAGGCGGCCGATTACTGATATATACGTTATAATATATTAGAAACCATATGGATCTTATTTGAAAGAGTAGATGGTACAATTGTTAGCCATTTTATTTTCCTCCCAAATAATAGACACTAGCTATAATTCTTATGGTTTCCCGTTTACTTTGTTATTAAAGTCAACAGCATTAACATGCAACGTGATTCTTTTAAAAAAATCTATTTGTATTATATACGGATTAATGTCTACCTTACCTAAAATATTATTGTCTCCTAAGTATCCAGGTTCTCCCACTTTTGCAGGAAACAATGGGACACCCCCTGGAAGCTTGAAGTCTGCAACCTCTTCTGGTGGCACGTGAAGCTCACGCATTGCTATTGCAATATCTCGGTGTAGATCTAGAGACCTTTCCCGTAACTCCTGAATTCGAAGATTCTGTAAAACAACACATGCATTGGCCAAAAACATGAGTAACTCGATGGCGTAGTGGATAAGCGCCACAACCCGTGATCGTAGTTGTTAAGCGATTTTCGCAAGGGTCGGAACGGGATGGGTGACCGAACAATATTGTCTCAAGCTACTTCATGCTTCGGAAGACACGTTAAGCCGTTGATCAAAAACAGTCATTCTTAATACTGGCCCAGCCAGGAATGAAAGTCGGAAAATTACGTGGACCACTTGGACGCGGTGGTCGTTAATTCACTACCGGAAGAAAAGAGTTAATTAGTTTCTTTCGCTCTTTCTTCTTGTCAGCTGAAAGATGCTCTGGACGAGGGGTAGCGAAAAAATTTACGATTCCAGTGCTTGTAATAAACTCATTTGAGAAAAGATTTTTTCATTCATTCATTTGTTGACATTTTGTTCAAATTTTTATTTTGAAAGTTTTATGTCATTGATAAATTACCGGAAGGACTGGACTGAAAGTCGATGCCTAGTGTATTAAACAATGAGTAGGTATTAATAGGGAAGGCTATTTAGCTGTTAACAGGAATAAGTGTCAATAGTTCTTATGAAATATATTTGCCGTCGCCATTCCTCGTGGGTCATATACCTCGTCAACATTGAGGAAAACTACCCGAGATTAGGAGCTTGATATCTAACGCAAAATAAGTTAAAATTAAATGAGCTTCTCTACGATTAACATTAAGATAACGATGTACATGCAAAATTCTCAGAAACAATAAATTATTTTTATTTATTTAAGTACATCACCTACAGTATCATTACTGCACTGTAAACACGTTGATTGCACTTATTATCATATTTACATCCGACGGAAAAACACATGTTTAAATAAAGCTTTGTATAAGCTTAGTATAATCGTATAATCCAACAACAAACAATTTTGGTAACTTCTGCTTTTAAATGTCATCGGCATTTCAATACTCATTAACCGATTATTTAAGAGATAGAAAAAAATCGCAGAGATTCTAAATAGGTTTGTTGGATCGATTTTGCTACTAATATATGTATTTCATCTTAACTATATAAAAAAATTATACAAAAATAGGTTTGATATAATCTAAAATGATCAAACGATTTATAGCTGCATTTGTTTTTTTTTTTCTACAATTAAAAATGTATGAAATCATGCGAGCGCATCTTCACTCCCGACGCGTGTTTGTTTGTGTATTTGTATTGAAACATAATACAAGAGGGCCTCAATATATATGTACAGGAATAAGTTTGAATATTTAATTCTGAATAGATATTATTAAAAAAAACTCTTTAGCGGGTTTGCGAGTATATAATATAACTCGATCACCGCAAACTATTAGTAACAATACACATAATAAATTGATTTCGCTTTATTTAACTGTTCTTAGTTCTCTGAGAATCTAAACTATTTTATTGACTATTTTTATTGAAAAATCTAGATAAACTGACAATCAAAATATTTTTTTAGTAACTTGCCGACAATTAAAAATTACGAAAAAGGAATAATCAAAAATGATAGTTAAGGTCAGAGGCATAAAATAGTTTAAATGTAAAGGACCCAGGCTGAACGCTGTCGAGGGTACGACACACCGTTCGAAAATATGGATCTGCTTAATAAGGATGATGACTGTTTTTTGACTGTCTGTCCGTCATTGAACAATACTATATACGTTTATTTTATTTTTTTGCTAAATCAAAAATAACGGCGATAAAATGAGTTGTAATAGTAATTATTTTAGTTTTTCAATTCATTTCCACTTGTTCATTTTTCATTATTAGTCAATCAATGAGCATTTTACTTCACACTTAATAATGGACCCACCGCCTTGACTCAAACTAAACATATGTAGTTCAAACCATAACAAAAACCCTTCGTTACCGTATAATGTAAAGATCAAAGTAAATTTACAACTGCAGATGATGTTTCTTAGAAATTATCCGAAAAATATTTCAATAAAACGAGTGCTATTGTGCTTATAATTTTTAGGATATTTATCTTATATGTTAATTAGAGATCGATAAAAAATCATAAAAAGCGTATAAAGCTTAATGTTTTCTTTATCAGCCAGACGTTTCTAATGTAATTAATGCATTTATCATTGCTATTATAAATTATTTACTCATGTTTTTATTGATAATCTCTTACTAATCATATCAGATTCGATTATTTATGCTAAAAACAATTAATATTGAAAGCCGGCAATGTGCGAGTCGGATGTACACGAAAGAGTCCGTACCACATTACCTATAACAACCGCAAAAAATAGCGCTTGTTGTTGAGGAGCCCATTATATTATTTATCTTTTTCTGACTTTAATATTTCTTATCATAGTGGTAACAGTAATGCATCTATGAAAATTTCAACTGTCTAGCAATCATGATTAGTAAGATACAGCCTAGTGTCAGCCTAATGACGGACAGATAGCAGAGTTTTAATAGGGCTCGGTTTTTACCCCTTAGGTACGGAACCCTAAAGATCCGATCTCCAAATGAATGCTGTTTCTATATAAAACTGTGTTTATTTTAAGAAAAATATTAATTTATACCCAAATAGAAATTTTTAATACGTCGCTCTATCCTTTTCTGTGCTAGAGCGGGATAGATAGCGGGTGTGCGTTAACACGCCATAGGCCAGATGTAGCTCAACCCTAAAGATACGCGAAATATTGATCTTTCTATTCGCTTTACTCTCCTTAAATTGGGAACTAAAGGAATAAGATGAACTAATTCCGGTATGAAGGAACTACTGAATGAGATTTAAAAACGACTCATTCAAAAACTACACAAGTCTAGTGTCTATTAATCTGCACCACCCGCCGGTGCAGCGCATGACAGGCGACGATTTATATATGTGTTTGTGAATGGATCTTTGTGACGGCAAATTGGACAAAAATAATACCATAAAATATGAATGCAGACGATACAATTGCTGATGGTCCTTAACTGGATGTAAGGTGATAGCGCGATGCACCTCACGCTTCTTTAACCTGCCGGTGTATGCGGCCGCTCCGCTACTGTTGTGATGAAGTATAGTTTGCATCTGAAATTAAAGAAAAAATCTTTTATATTCTACATTTCACTTGTTCTATTCCATTTCTATTTTTGAATAGTTCGATGGCGTACTAGATAAGCGCCGCGGCCCGCGATCGTTGTTTTGAAACAATTTTCGCAAGGGTTGGTCACAGGATGGTCGAACAAAAAATCATTATCTCGAGCTACTCCGTGATTCAGAAGGCACGTTAAGCCGTTGGTCGCGGGATGCATTTGCAGTCGTTAATACCCTCCAATCCGCATTGGGCCAGCGTGGAAAGTCATAAAATCATGGTTCATCCTCCTTAAGGCCTAAGCCCCTGCAGTGGGGAAATAAAAAGGGCCGATGATGATGATGGTGATAATATTCTATTTTATGTTTAATGTTCATTAGTATAATTATAACAATCTGTAGGGTTATCTTAATATTAGCACTCGCTAGAATTTCCATACAATCTGGTCTTTTAATAATAATATTTTTACTATCAAACTGTGTACGATAGATTTTACATAAATAAGTCAGTTGCAACAGGTGCCCATTTCGCACATCAATAAATGCTATTAACTGACATTACAAAAATATTTATATAAATTATAGAAGTATTAAGCTAATTACCACTTTCTTAATCGCTTTTTAAAGATATATTAATTAAGAACCTGCTTCGCCACTTGCTGATAAAGACCAACTAACATATAACGCTATGTGACAATTAAAAGGCACTGATATTATCCGTCAGATAATTCTGTATCGTCTTTTGGATCCAAAATTTGCAATTTATTTGCCATATAAGCTATCAGAGACTTTATCAGCAATTGGTGAAATTGCCCCTTAGACATTTTAAGCCTTATTGTAGTTTATTAAAGATTATTATTACCGCAACAGTCTGATGTCGCAATAGAATATCTGAGACACGTATGAATCAATCAAGATTGTTGTGTATTTTTATGCAAAAAATGAAATTAATAGAATTTCTACACTAAATGATCTGAATTCGGTCACACAAGGGAATCCTAATTCGGATTTGGATTTTGCTTTTTTTCAAGTAATTACGTTGTAAATCGATGATAATAATTTACTACATCCACATTTTAGTTCCAAAAACTCCTAGTCTAGTGAATAAACGTAATTCATTGAATTTGGTAAAATATTAATAAAAGTTGCAATTGAGTTAATACTCGAATACGAATATCATAGTTGTAACAAGTTGTAAATATAATAAACAATAAGCATTTGATTAAATGTAATTGAAAATTACACACAACAGCAAATGAAATTACTGCAAAGTAACGATATGATCCAATTTAAACTTAACCCTCAACGCATTAAGATTTAAATAAATATCAACAGTAAAAGTAAACAGACTGTTCTGGATAACCTGATGAGTTGACTGTACTAATACTATACATCACTCCGTGTCAAGGGGTCAACTCTAACGAGAATCCACGATCTCATTAATATTAAACTACAAAGTATCTTAATAATATTAAACATGAGAAGTACTCATGTTATGTTTTTTCTTTATGCTGTTTTATCTATTTTAAAGTTATATTTACAATAACTTTATGTAGTTCCATAAATCTTAGAGATTTTGTAAATTATAGGAGATGTTCTCTCTTCACCGGAATTCACGAGAAGCTACGCGGACGAAAACGCGGGAAAACGGCTAGGTTTGTATAGTTTACGACTTTTTTAACCGACTTTAAAATCGAAAAGGAGATTGTATACATATGTCGCAGTAAGATAGATAAAGCCGTAATATAGTTATATCCCTAGGGATATAATTATATACCGTAACATAGTTATACGGAAGCGATTCGTTACTATCTCACTAGGAATATAGTTATAAAGCAGTCCAAGTTTAGTGATATACTTATATTACTAGATTAAGTTTAGTGAAATAGCTTTCTAAAACTTAAGAAAAGCCGCAAAAAAAATGAATAGATCACAACACCTACTCATCACAGAAATTTCCTGACATTAACGTGGGTTCTTTAGTTCTTATGGAGATACCAAAGATAGATCGTGGACCATTGGATCAATAAAATGTATTGAGAAAAGTTTTAGAAAAGCGAAATGAATGTGATAAAATTGGAACATCCGTAACTAACTGCAGGATACAAAAAGTTGATTTTTTAATAAAAATAAAACCAATATAATATTATTTTATTTAATTATATATGGTAGATTTCTATTTCACTAAGCTTAATCAAGTAATATATTTATAACACTGAACTATATCTAGTAATATAAGTATATCACTAAACTTGGACCGCTTTATAACTATATTCCGGTATAGAATTATATCCCTAGGGATATAACTATATTACGGCTTTATCTATCTTACTGCGACACATACACATATTGACCGATATTTCCGCCAGTTGTTGACCGAGTTTCGAAACTCTTTTTTATTCTACAACTTAATGGACCGAGGTGTTTCCATTTAAACTTAATCGAAATCGCATCAGTAGTTTTACTTTTATAAAAAAAAAAGTTTTTCATCAGATATCACGTTAATATTTAGATGATATGTTTATTTCGGCAAAAAACAAAAGAATGTATATTTTGAATTCATTTAAAATCCGAAAGGAGGTTTGAAGTATGTTCAACGAGTATATTATATATATTTATTAAAGTAGGTATATGCATCGATTTCTTCTTGAATTGTAAAAGGATTTATATCAAACTAGCTGTTTACCCTCGACTTCGTCTGAGTATATTATAGCCTATGTCCCCTGCGTACTATGTAATCGGTCCAATAGTTTCGGAGCCTATCCAATGCAAACAAACAAGCAATCAAACCGTTTCTCTTTTTTAATATGAGTATAAATTATTGCAAAAGATGATGTCACGCAAATAAACACAATCCGCTTTTCTAAGATTTTCACTGTCTTGAATATTTTTACTTATATCTAATATTTTTAGTGTTACCTATTTTATAATAAAAAAGATCAATATCACTCAAAAGCATGAAATAAAAACTTTTTCAAGAAATAGAACGGACTTCAAAACTTTAAAAAGTAATAAATAATACCTATCTCAAAGGCGACTTATTCAAGAAAATGCTATTGAAGCCGGGCGTTATTTAATCAATAAACTATCATTTAATTACTGATCTAGTCGCTTTTGAGAAAAGTATTGTTTATCACATGTTTGAAGTTTGTCATTTGTTCTATTTCTTGGATAAAGATTTTATTAACATCTATGATAATTTGATTATGATATATTGCAACCAATTTACAAAAAAAAATACACCTAAACCTTTTTAGTGACGGAAAACCACATGACAATCCGTTTGGTAATTTTCACATTGATCACGTTATTTAATGATATATTGTTGCGATAATATAAACCATACTTAACTCTAACAATGACGCAGATATTATTATTTAGTGATAACGGAAATATAACATTGACTTTATTACTTCGAATTAATTAACATTCTTATCTGCCCGATAACGTTGCCATAATTACGTCTTTCCTAAATATTTTAATTATTAAAACCTTTAATAGAAATATTTTGTTAATATAGTCAAAAGTACAAGTTATACAAATCTGTCAAATTGCTTAACTTCATTTTCAACCTTAATGTTTTGAGGATAGAGTTTAACATCAACAAGAGGAATTTTTTCATATTATAATAACCTGAAGTGCAGCTGTGTGTACATAGTATTATACTTTAGTATAGTTATAGTATTTTACTTTTGCACCTCTATGTAATATAGTGTACGAAACTAAAGATGTCATTAACACCCGAGGTGGAAACAATCCCAACGTGCATACAACGCGTAAATATCAATAAAAAATTTAAATACCTAAGCTATTTTTCTTAAATTCTATCTCAAAGAATGTGGCAAATGTGTACAATGATAAATTATAGTGGCTAACATTTACATAGTAAATCTCGATAAAGTGTTTATCAAAATCTAGGCCAGCGGAAGATACTAGACAGTATCCAGACTATGTAATGAGAGTTTCTAAACTAACCTAAATGTTTAAAAATAAAGATGAGTTTCCATTGCAACTTCTTATCTGATATATTATTATATACATCTAAAGATCGGACCAAATATAACAGAAGACCCGTCACACGGTAGTATGCGTTGGTACGCCACGGATTATGCGCCTAGTGTGCAATAAATAAATGTTAAATGTCAATTGACATGTCAATGAGAATTTAATTAACAATTATCGGGTTAAAGTTCTGGTTTATTATTATCAGATTGAAATAATCATAAGTATAAAATCCGTAATGCGTTTGTAAAATTGTAACATGGAATGTGTTATGATTTTACAAACGCATTACAGAAAGACACATCAATGAAAGCTTATGAAGAGATCTGATAAATAGAACAATAAAAAGTGAAATTCAGAGACTGAGACACACAAAAACTACTGTGAGAATAGTTTTTGTTCAACACATTGTATTCTAATTGGAGATTATAATCTCAATGACATTTAAACGGAACGTATAAACATGTTACTTTCTCTGAATACGGACTAATAAGTTGTGATTAAAATGCTCCGTACAATCAACACAATGTCAGATTACTATAAATTTCTTCATTCCACTTGAATCCTTAATTGATTGATAATTAAGTCCAAAAATATTGACCTAACATTTGTTGTATGTATAACCTAAAAATTATCAGCGATTTAGCACACTGACGGCAGGGGAAATGAAAGAATTTTTTTGTTAGATCAAAAATATATTTTCTTTATAATTTTAATTATAAATTAAATTTCAAGTTATTTTATAATTTCAAGTTATAAAGAATACATTTGTAAACTTACCATTCAACTCTTAATACCTAAACTTCTGTGTCATCAATTTTAAAAAATAATAAAAAACCTTAAAATGTTTGTTTTAAATAGTTTATAATTTTTAAAATTAAACATTTATACAAAACTGTCGATGCGTCCATCTCATACTTGACCAGTTGTTATTATATGTACTAACTTTAAGTATGTAACAGTCGTAACATAATTTTAAGGAAACTACAAACCTG